CTCTTTTCTCTCTGTGTGTGTGTTTTGTGAGTGGGGGTGGGGAGTACGTGCCTATGATAAATAACTTGTTGCTTTTATTGCAAGGTATAATCCAATTTGGGAGCATACATGATATAACCCTAATTGGCTTTTTCCCAATATTATTCTATCTCTGAACTATTTAATCTTGAGTCCCTCATCTTTAAGCCCTTGTTTGGTTTGGCTAAAGATCATATTTTTAGTAGATTTTGATAAAAATTGATGAAATGTGTTGTTGGAAAGTTGATAAAACTTGTGGTTCCCATAAAATATGTTTGTTGAAAATGAGTTTGGGCAAAAATGAGTTTTTAAAAACTGGGGCCAAAAAGGGGCTAAATCCGGTTGAAGGATTGCTTCCGTCCCACGTGTTGTTATGTTACTTGTATATCAAAGTTTATATACTGTGTTCCAGTACTCTTTCACTTTCTCCCTATCTATTTCATCCCATGAATGTAAATAATTTTGAAAAAAATAAAAATAAAAATACTTCCAATAATTCTGAGCCAATCACATACAGCATTTTTGAGTTTCTGAGCCAAGTTATAGCACAAGAAAGTCTTAAAAGTATTTACACAATTGGACGCAAATTCTCTCTCCTACTTGGCATCACATTTACCACTACTTTTCTCATTATTGATCGGGAACTCTTGCATACTTCTTGACACGTTCAGGCACCGCTGCGCCGCATCTCTTATAGGAGCACCCTGACTATCCCTTGCTCACTTTTCACTGCGTCTGAATACAATGCACTTAATGTGAAGTTATGCCTTTTGTTATGAAGATTTATAGCCGTAAGTTGAGAGTAGTTGACAATCATAACTAAAGAAAATAGGTATTCTGGCTAATTCTTGAAGCATGTATTATATATGATAGTAAACTCATTTGGATTCAGCTGTTTTGTTTAGGCTTCGGAGTAGCTTAAACTTTATCATGGAAAATTTAAAAACTAATCCAACTACGTGATCATTCACATTCTATTAGTACATGTAAAGTATTAGATTGTCGATTTTTACCATACAAATATGCTCAGACATTGCAAATTTCTTTCAGATGGATGCCCAGAGCCTTGCTGTGGAAATGGCCCCTATCATCATGTGGCAGAAGGGACGGAGGTTAGAACTCTACAAACAGTTTTGGAGTCGTCCATCAAAACTTGATTCTAAGACAAATGTTGATTTTGCCTCCAACTATAATACATGGGACATGCTTGCAGGTGATTGCAAGTTTGGCATTATGTGCTTGTACAATGCTTCTTTCTTTTGCAAATCTCTTACTTTGTTCATAATTTTGCTTATTCAAGAGCTTGACAGAAACCCAAGTTTGAGATTTCCTACCTGTGGGTAATAAAACCAGAAAGTTTCCTGTGATATAACAGGGAGTTCATCTTGTGAAATACCTGCTAACCTTCTATGGCTTTTCATAACCAATGTATATGTTGTGATTGCAAATTTCAAGGCAGCAAGAATTGATATGACTGTGGGTTTCCATAAGATAAGAGGACAGCAGAACAAATAATTCCCGGAAGATAGGAGAAGGAAAAAAGAAAACTGCCAGAATGCATCACCTAGGAAGTTACATTTTATTTACTTTTGAGTCAACTGGGATAAGTGATGATAAATTGATAATGTGGCAAGAAAACAGTAATTTTCAAATTTTGGATTTGATCTTAATACAAGACGTCAGGATATGATATTTTGCTCTGTGGCTTTTCTACCGAACAAGGGAACTTATAGTCGAATAAGTTGATGCAATTGTGAAATGTTTGTTTGCCGTATTTCTATCTTCAAATGTAAATATTTGTTAGTACTATGTGCAACAATCTTAATTTTTTTTTTCCTGCATACAGAAGAAGGTGAAAATACAGACAGATCTTCCTCTATTCCTTTGGATGATGAATTGCCAGTTGATTTGGGTGCTATTGAAGCCATACAGTGCTTGATCCAACACCACAACGCGATTTTCACAGATGCAAATGAAACAGTTTGGAGATAATTTGGGATAGACACATTCCAAATAGTGCACAGATCATTAGATTCGACCATGTGCAATAACATGTTGAAATTGATAATCTGAATATTCATAAATCCAACAGCAGATGTTTTACTCGAGCAATGGGAGAGTCTGTTTGTGTGTTGTCATGTAAATTTTTGCAGAGAATAAAAGATTTTAATTTTCATCTGCCTTTTTTTCCCCCTATCTACTTTTTTTCGAGTTATCATATGTAAAATATCAGAGATGAGCGGGTCACCAACCATTCTAGCGTCCACACCCACCACCTCCTCACGTCATATGACTGGATTTTTTTTTTCTTTTTTGTTTTTTTTGATATATGAAAATTTGACCATTGGTCTTGCGGTCACGACTAGTCCACGTGTCCAAGACAAATTAGCTTGTAGATCTTGATCCACATGCCGACTCGTTATTTAATGAGCCGAACTTGGCTCATGAAAGTGTCCAACTCAACCTACGACTCATCTCCAAATGAGTTCAACCTGCATATTGTTCGATCCAACTGGACCGTTTTGTTACTTCTAAAATCAGGCAGGCATATTGACTAAATACCTTAAGAAACCAATTTAGTGATTGATCTCTTGTTAGATCCCCATTTATCAAATACATTTTTCTCTCTTTCTTTCAATGACACATTTTTTAATAAAATAATATTACATACTTAAAACTTTTTCTTATATTCTAATCACAAATTTTCTATCAATCTACTATTCTATAATGTATTCTAAAAAGAAAAGGGAGTCAAATTAATAGATAATGTTAAGGAGAAAAAAAGCCTTTCTCACATCTCGATTTCCCGCAAGAGATTCGGATCGTTTTTTCTGATCCTTCAAGAAGATTTTTTTTTCGAATCATCCCTGACCTTATTCAAGAATTGTTTTTGATCCAATCCGTAGGAATCAATAGAAAAAAAAAGAAAGTGTGGAGCTTAAATAACTCACTCAGAATGCTTTTTAAAGGATTACGTGGTACAATTAGGTCAAATAAGCCCTTTTGGAATAAATATTTAGCGGCTTGTGAACATTCAGGTACTGTTTTATTCAATGTTTGCTCAATTACTCTTTTACCCGCAAATGCAATATAGGAATTGGGTTCAGCAATAATTAGAGGTTATCTTGCTAAGTTTTTTTCTTATGAAAATAAAGGTCACATAATCGCTGATCTTATTTTGGCTTCAATCGTAAAAGAATCAAAACGGCAAGTTATTAAGGCCTTGTTTGTTACCCATTATTTTAAGAATTGAAGAGTTTTTAATAGTATTTTTTGGAGAATGTGTGGTTAAAAGGTAAGAAAATGTATTTTTTGGAGAATGTGTGGTTAAAATGTAAGAAAATTTTATTGATTTGTGTTCAGAATATTTTATTATATAAATACGTGATGGATAATGATATTGTAGCAAACAATTTAAAATTTTAAAGTTCGGGGGTTAAATCCACCCTCGGCGAAATATTGTTTGGCTGTACTACTGAACCTAGTAAATCCAGAGAGGTCTATGTAATTACAAATTTAAGAAATAATTAAAAATTTCGAGTTGCATCCGGCTGCTTGCTCTGCTATCGCAAGGGAAACGGAACCCACAGATTGCACGGGCGCATGCTAACAAATTTTCAGCGATTGTAATGTCTGTCAGCGCCAACAAACTTCCCATCACTAACCTTTTGCTCCTCGCATTTCTCTGTTTGGTAATATAATACCCTTCCTTTTCAGCCTACTTAATTGGTCTACATCAATTCATACGTCTTATTATTTACATGTTATCTATGTGTGTGCAAGTGTGGTTAATCTGGACTGTTACTGTGTTTCTGGACTTCTGGGCGTTCAATTTTTATTTTTTTATTTTTTTTGGTTATAAGTATTTACTCTGTCATTCAATTTCAGGGCTAATGTCGTATGATCAATTTTTTTATTTTTTAATTCTTACCTTCTGGCTGTTCTTCAATTTAATTTCTGTTACTGTAGTTGGGTTTCTGATTTACTAAATAAGGAAAGAAGAGAAAAGCAACTCCAAGATTCAATATTTTATCTTTTATCATGTTTTCCTTTTGTTTTTAGGAATTGATTTTTTCTATTTTTTTATCTTTTAAAGTTTATATTGCGCTCATGGTTGGGGTCTTCAATTTAACCAAATGGTAAATGTAGTGCCTTTTATGTCCAATTTGAATCAAAATTCTACTAGCTACTATTCGAGCGCAATGCACTCATTATTATCCCAAACTTTACGAGAGAATAGATTAGAAAGTTCGAGTAGAGTTTAGGAAATTGATGCTCAATAAAAATGGCAAAGAAATCCAGAAAGTTGGTATGAAGAGAAGTAAACAATGATAGAAGATGTATCTAGTTTACTTGTAATATAACTTGAAGCTTAAGCTTGATTTAAAAAAAAATAAAAGTAAATAAATGGAGATTTTGGCATGGAAGATTTTATTGCTAATAATATTTGACCTTATTTATCGAGGGAACATGTTACCATAGGATTCTCTGTCTGTCTGTCTGTCTCTCTCTCAATAGAAAAGTATTGATATTTATATATTATAGAAAGATTGACATTAATTATATGTTATTATGTTTATGTTAGATTTCAGTCAACTCTATTGATGCTCCGGTTTATATGTTCCAAATAGGCATTTGGAGAAGAGGTCAAGAGTCCAGGGAAATACCCTCTGGTTGTGAGTACCTGGCCCTTCTTGGAAGCTGTTAGAGCGGCCTGGAGAACTGTTGAGAGTGGGCTTTCAGCCATGGATGCAGTTGTGGAAGGTTGTTCTGCTTGTGAGGAATTAAGATGTGATGGTACAGGTAGGAATCTGTTATGAAATGCGTTTTTGGTGAAATAAGAAAACAGTGTTTGGACTACATTAATAGATGTGTTGAAAAACTTCATTTAAAAGCTTAAACTGTGAGCTTCTTAGATAAGATCACACGTATACCATTTTAATTCTCATCTTCAACACGTCCCTTCATGTGTAGGTTTTGTTTTCAACAATATATTTGTCATACGATATGGATTTTTGATCGATTTGACTCAATTTAAATGGTTTCAAGTTTCAACAACATATATTACGTATGCATGCATAGAAAAATATATAGTCATGTGCACAGACATATATAAATCCATCATATGTATAAACACTATAATTTGTATTTTGTTGTTTTAAAAACAATGTTAGTTGTTTATCTAATGCACGACCAAATCATCAACTGTCTTGGAGCTTTGTCTTGTAAAATCATACTACTTGGCCAATCATTTTGTTTAGTGAATAGCTGCATTATCTAAATCTTTAGAATGTATAAGTGCCATCTAGGATGAATGGCTATTATTTCATCCAAAATCTCTAGGGAAAAAAAAGATTGATATAACTCTCGCTGTTTGTTTGTGGATGTTGAGTTTTTGTTTGCATGAGAAAGAAGATATCTGCTAACAATGAATTTCAGCCATGTGAAACCAGAGTTACCTGAAATAACTAAGCCCCACAGATCATATATTGATTGAGCCTTCCTGAAATTTGGTTCACTGGTTATCCGGAGTGCTAAGCTCTTTCCAGAATATTCTCTTTAACATCTTCCTTTGCTTTAGCGGTTATGGGCCAAAATTATTGATATGAAAAATTAATCATAAAAATGTAAACTTTTTAAGTTAGTATCACATGGCACTTTATGCTATTGGTCTTATAATACCAAAGTTTTGATGATCTAGAAGATTAGATATTTTCAAATCCCTGAGAACCTATCAGTAGTGTAATCTGATGTAGCCTACTCCTGCTATACATTTTTTATTTTATTTTATTTTTATTTTTAATATCTACAATAAAAGCATTCTTGATTCTGTTTATGAACCATAGAGATAGAAAAGTGGTTGAAACCTTTGGTTGATGAAACCCTTTCTTTAACTTTGCTGTTAAAATCCAATGAGAGATCGAGTTTGATGCTATCAGAACACAATGAAAGTTATGTGGATGAGACTGCACCAAAAAATGTCCATTTCATTGAGTCTCCTGTAGCACTTGCACTGAACTGATGATCAAACATTATAATGTATAAAATGGTGCAAATTAGAAGTTAGAAGAACTTTCCCCATAGCAAGGTTGTGGTTTTATTCATATCTTTATCCAGATAGATCAAACCCCGGTACTCTCCAGAGTTAATGAAACAGGAATGCTTGGTTTTGCTGCATGTAATCAGTGTGGGTGGTTTTTCTGGTTAGCCTATAGTTCAATGCTTGTGGGATTTTTTATATAGTTTTTTACACCATTGATTACGAGGTTTACTTCCTTGAACAGTTGGTCCTGGTGGAAGTCCAGATGAAAATGGAGAAACCACAATGGATGCCATGATAATGAATGGGGTATATGATAATTTCACATTCCTTGTATTTGTTTTGAGCAAGGGTACAAAGTCGAGCATTTATGATATGTTTGTTACTCAATATCACTGCACCGAATAATGCATAAAATTTAATTCTTTTTCTTCATTAATTCTGTCCAATAGTGTCAACATGCTAAAATGCCACTAAATGATATCTACTTTCCATATGCTAAGACATGTATAGGTAACAATGGAGGTTGGAGCTGTTGCTGCAATGAGGTATGTGAGTGATGGAATCAAAGCCGCAAGACTAGTAATGCAGCATACTAAACACACTATGCTTGTAGGCGAGCAAGCATCTGTCTTTGCCATTTCAATGGGTCTTCCGGGGCCCACAAACCTAAGCTCTGAAGAATCAATGGATAAATGGATCAAATGGAAAGAAAACAAGTGCCAGCCTAATTTTAGGAAAAATGTTTTGCCTGTTGATGATTGTGGTCCTTACCATGCAACGAATACTGTAAACCTTGGCGAGAACACGTGCACGAATTCCAAATGGTTGGAGTGTGGTAGATTAGGGTCTTGTCACATTAGTCTCCACAATCACGACACAATATCCATGGCTGTCATTGACAGAGTAAGCTGTTCATTTTCCTCCAATTTCTGTTCATTAGTTTGTATAATTTGGATTGGGTATAATCTTTTATTTATGTTTCTTTTTCCAGATGGGACATATTGCTGTTGGTACATCAACTAATGGGGCCACGTTTAAAATCCCGGGCAGGTAATAACAATTTAGCAGAGTTACTAACTAGTGTTAAACCACATGATAGTTTTATCTTCTGTGCAGTTTTCACCAATATGTAAGCCACTGTTGGTAGTGATGAGGAAGATGTGAAATTATATTGAACAGCTCTTATGTATTTTGAAACACTGATGATGTCAAAAATTAGGGATTAAGATATAATGGGTGAAGTGAAGTTGTTTTGTACTTGTGTATAACTACTGATGTTAATTGTTACTGAACTCAGACCTATACTTAATGCTGCATCAACATGAATGAACTTTTATAATGCCCTAACTCAGCCAATTTAGGTTTCCAGACCAGTGCTTGTGATCTGAACTAGAAAACTTTCGACTTGCAGGGTTGGTGATGGACCTATTGCTGGATCATCTGCGTATGCTGACACTGAAGTTGGAGCCTGTGGTGCAACTGGAGATGGTGATATCATGATGCGCTTCCTTCCATGGTACTTTACTTGAAACCATTCGCTGAAACCTAGATATTAATTTTATTATACATTTATGGTACACAAGTTTGTAGATAAGTTTTATAAGAATTCACAGTTTATAAGGTTATGGTCCTTCTAAGTTATTCTTAAGCTTGTTGGATGAGAGCTTCAAATTTCTGCTGCTTCGTGTAATTTTCGGAAGCTGATGTTTTTAAACTGTGAAACTAATATTAGAACTGGCAAAATAGCTTAATAATCAATTTTATTTTGTATTAACATGTTATGTTACTCGTCTGATGAAAGAGTGTCAAAGTAGGAAAGAGAACTGAGTTAATGAGAGAAATGCTCTCCTATTAATATTGCATCATCAAGCAGAGATGACCCTGCTGTGCTAGGGTTTGAGAGGCAGCATTTAGGGAAACCTCCACAACTTTTTGTTTGACTAAATTACTGAAAAAAATGGTGAGGTTGTCATAAATTTAAGGTAAATTGATGCAGCCTGCAAAAAGTAGAATACATGGCCCTTATGGATAATTCTAAGGCCCAAAACATACATGAACCAGTCTTGGTCAATTTTTGGGCGAATGATGTCTTATTTTCAAGCAGAAACGACCTTTTGGCGCAGTCTTTGTGACCATATATATAAAATTACATCATTTAAGGGGTCAAATGCACGTCTTTATCATTTACCAGAAATTTAGGTTTTTTATGTTTGTTAGATTTTCGAGTTTTTGCTGTAGTTAAATTTGTTAATTTTCATTATTCTAGGATTGTACTTCCAGAATTAGTTTTCCAACATTTGTCGTGCATAATATTTGTAGTTTGATCTCTATTTGTTTTATCGGACCAGATCGGAATTGGGTTATATACATTCTCAAGGGTGAGTGTATCTAAATAGAGAGATAAATTCTGTCTTATTTAAAGGGGGGCTTATTGAATCAGATACTAAACTCTTCTCAATTGTCTGTCCAAATTCTCGCTATTTGCTAAAGGCTAGCTTGCAACTTACAAAAAATTTATAGGAACGATCTTCTTTCTGACTATGCTTGTGAAATTTTGCATCCTTGCTTGCACACCTTGTTCTTTAGACCGTAGGAAAACGTTTGGAAGTTGGAGCTCTTGTCTCATTTCTGAACGCAATATTTGTTTTAGTAGGGAACCTGTATTCGAGATAAAAATTGCAATTTTTCTTGTTCTACAGCTATCAGGTTGTGGAGAGTATGAGGTTAGGGATGGAACCTAAGCGTGCTGCTGAGGATGCCATATCAAGAATTGCGTGGAAATATCCTGATTTTGTAGGTGCTATATTTGCAGTCAATAAGAATGGCGTCCATGCTGGTGCATGCCATGGATGGACGTTTCAATACTCAGTAAGGAGTCCCGACATGGAAGATGTAAAGGTTTATACTGTTGTCCCGGAAACTCCAACACCTCAAGGCTGTTGCTTCCCCAGTTTGGCCATGGGAAGTTACAGAGAAACGTATCGGTAACATATGCCATATCTTTGAAGATTCATTGTTTTGTGTAAATTAAACAAGAGATGCTGACTTCAAGAAAACGAGGGATCGATAGATCATGCGTTTATTCAGGACCTTTCACTATATATGGCAATAAATGTGTTAAGAATACAATAATTTGGCTTGGTCTTTAGTTTAATAAAAGATTATGAAGTTTTGTACCAGTGAAATTTTAAGAACATTTGACAGGGGCAGGTAGCAGCAATTTCTGCTAACAATGTAGCTTTCGAACTCAACTTGCAGCTGCTGGTTTCTTGTACGATTTACAAGGCCAAGACCATTAAAGCCGGAAAAGAATAAAAGAATCATTTGAAGGTTGAAATTTAGAAAGACGTTAATTTAATTTAATTTCTTCGGTTCTATACTTCTAAAATGCATTTTTATTCGAAGTTATTTTTTCTTGGCTTTTTCACAACAAATAGTAATTTTACTATTTTTTCATGTTTTGTTCATCTAACGTATCATTACAAGGTTTATATGTGAAAGAAAATGTTTTATCTTTTTACTTACTCATAAGGTCCGATTTTGTTGTAAGTTTTCTTGTTTGAAGGATGGTAACTACTAAGGTGGAATGGAATAACCTGGTTGAAGCGTAATGATCATACGTCTGTAATGCATTGTATGTCCCATAATCAATCCGGGAAAGATGAATCAGCTCCCGAAAAGGAATCTATTGATTTTCTCCCAATTGGTTGGCCCGTAGGTGCAATGATTTACTTCACACATTGAAGGTTGAAATTACGTATTGAATTTTTGGTAGTAGATCCATAATAAAAAGTGTGATTGTTCCGGAAGAAATGAAGTAATAAAACGTTGGAATAATTTGACTCGACTTGACTCAAAAAATTGACTCATTTCGAAAATCAAATTAATGAATTCAGTTTGGTGCGTGTTTGGCAAAATTTATAATTGCTTCTAAGTTAGTTGAAGTCTTTTTATTCACATATCTGGTAAAATTTACGATTTTTTCAAACTTTTTAACTTCACATTTTTAGGATCCATGACATATAAACACTTATAAGCTGTCATCTTGGTTTGTGCTCGACTATATTGTTCAAGTATACTATTAATTATCGTGATAATATGCTCTCAACAAAATATATAAATAAATCCCTTTGATTTTGAATCTTTCATATTCATTTTGAACCTAACATTCTTCAAAACAAATTATATTTTTCTATTTTTATATAATTTTCCATTCTTTTTTTATAATACATTAAAAAAAGAAAAAAAAAAGAAAAGGCTTCTCAAATAATCACTAGTAAAATTTTTTATCATACAAGTGCAAAGGAAAAGTAAAGGACCGAAACAATTCCTTTAATTTCTTAGCACTTGTTCAATAATATCTACTATTTCCTTACCAACCAAAAGACACGAGCCCTATTTTTTCAATCAAAATTCATTCTTGAATACAGAGGGCCACGTACGTATCATTTAAAATCTTATCTTCAAGACAAATTTAAAAAAAAAAAAATTAATTTTTAAAATAAGTAACTTTTTAAGTTAATGTGAGGAAAAAGTAATATATTCAAACGAATACCCGTCTTTCTGCTAAACAGGATGTATTGAACTCATAATTTAATAGATACTTTGAATGAATGTCAACTAAGTAGACATATAGTTACTTAAAAAAGAAATTTTTACATTTTCTTACCTCAGCCAAACATGCTGACAATCACTGAACTGGTAAATATGGAGGACTCGGGCCAAATATTTCTAATTCACTTAGAGATACTCACACCATTAGTCATTGAACAAACTTTCAAACAATATTCTCTCGACCCACTATTATGCTTATCAGCGATCAAACTCCTTAAAAACATTCTGTTCACATGCAAACCTCCAAGACTTAAGCCAAACGACCGGCGAGTTCACCACGCCCTCACATACCTCGGCATGGGTTCCCATGAATAAAATAATCCCAACTCCCGGCGTGTGTATTGTGTCAACCCTGCGATCATCCATGCGGGCACTGTAGCTCGGCCCAACCTCCAAAGTATTTTTTACAGTAGATATTTGTTTACCAAAAGTAAATCTCAACTTAGATTTCCCATCGTTCTCTGGGAATTTAATCGCTTTATAGCCTATTAAATAATTTTTTCTCATCCTCGTTGAAGAATTTTCTCAAACCTCTTAGCAATAGAAACAGGAATAGAGAAGGACAAAATATGGGGGGAAATCGGTCAACCTGCATTATGCTCAAAATTTTTGACGTTACATTCCATACCTCCGGACTTA